TCCGTTTATCAACGTTATATTTTAAGATCTGTGCAAGAACTTAGCTAACAGATGTTTCCGCATATAAAAGTTATTGAAAATAATAAAATGTGACAAACCTCTTGCACAATTCAAGTTTCAAGAAGGATTTAATTTAGAAAAACTATCAAGTATGACTGATGTCTAGTAGTGAAGTCTTAAAAATACCTTCAACTACAACTAATATATTATTATAGTAGAAACCAGTAATAGAAAAAACTTCCAAGTATGGCTAATGTCTCGTTATCATAGAAAAATGTCTTACAAGAACATCCAAGTATGACTAATATCCCCGTATGGTAGGATCTAGTCTAAAACTGTAAGCATGACTAATATCCCACTTTGGTAGAGACTAGTCTTAGAAAAACCTCCAAGTATGGCTAGTACTTCTTATGGTGGAAACTAATCTTAGGAAGATCCCCTAGTATGACTAAGATCTGCTGTAAAAACTAATTTTTCCAAATGCGATAATTATTTTGCTATGATAGGAACTAATTATAATATCACACAACATGTCCTCACGATAAAAAATAAAAATCGCCTTCAATTCGTTACTCAAACACAATGTGTCCTTAAGATACAAACTAAAACATGCCTTCCATTCGTTATCCTACACACAGTATTATTCTCTTCCGACATAAAGTAAAACCGATTCCTTAGCTTGTACATATAGTATGCCTTTACAATACACAGGCACGCTGACAGGGTGGAGCAATAAGGGCAACTGCCCAGGGGCCCGGGCGAATGAAACCTGGTTATGCCGTAAAGCCCGCAAAGCATCTTTACGCTGTATCTTCATTTAATTATAAAAAAAAACATAATTTTTGGCTTTTCTTTGCATATAGACGCTTGATACATTAAGAACGACTGAAATAATAATTTGAGTAATAATTAATATGTATTTGTTACTTTATAGATTTAATAGATATTTGTCATTACTTTATTAACGTTTTTACGCTTATACTGTGAGGTAAAAATGGCTGCTGCTATGATTTTGTCTGGTTTATGTGCTCGTTGCTGTCCTAATTTAGGATCTTCTTTTTAATAAATTCTTGAAAATGTTAAAAAAAGAGAGAGAGAAAGGAGGCCCGTACTGGCTCTCGACGTTCATGACAATACAAACTAAAACTCAACCCCAATTCATTATTCTATGTAGAATATTCAGTTCGTTACCCTACGTTACCTTAATATGTCCTTACGATACAAATTAAATCTTACCTTCAGTTCGTTAGCTTCGATAAACCCGCTGCCATCTATGTCATATTCTCTCCAGATCTGAAAATACGATTCTTCAATTTAACTTAATTTACATGCAATAAAAAGATATAAAAATCGAACTATATCTAATTTTAAAAGGTGATAGGCTTTTTAGTTATTTCTTAACTTGCGATGAGGCTGTGAGATTAAGCAGAGTCACATATAAAAGTAAATAAAATACAATTAATTAACTGTAGCAAATCGAAAATAAGCTTTAACATAGAATTGAAAACAAAGTATATGAAATCATAATGTTAGCCATGAATTGAACTACAGGAAGTCTGAAAAATAGGAAGGTTTGTAATAAATATCTAAATGTAAAAAAAAATTATTCTTCTAAATTAAAACAAGCATGTATAATGAAGAATGACAATAAACCTCGAAAAAATGCTGTAATCACACAGAATTACAATAATCCACTTACAGTAAAGACAATACTATAAAATATAGAATAAAAACGGTGCTTATACAGAGCTTTAATGTGTTATATTAAAACACTTTTGGAGATTCACCATGTCGTTAATCTATTTCGTCTTATTCTGTCATGCTTAAGTGACAACAGTAGATCTTGTCTATACAGCATGGTTTCCATTGCAAAAGACTCCTTTGTATTGTTTTCATATTCAAAGAACATCCCGCTCCCATATTTGTTTCCATAATCCATCTAGTTTACAATTACGACAGTTTCACAATACCCATTTCAACAGTCTGATCGCACAGAAATCCTAAAGCGCTGTGTCCAGTGAATTGACCAGTACGTATTTGCAATAATGAGTGAGGCTAAATTTCCATTCTCCAGCTACTTCATGTAAGGCACAGTTGAATGGATATACCGTGGAATCAATTTGTGTTTGTGAGACTTGTGTCGATTTTTTCAGACATTTATGTTGCATTCTACTGTATGCAACTCGTGAACAACTTTTGCTAATGACCTTTGTATTATTGATTTCTCACCTATTACAAAACAACGCACTTTTTTATCGTGAATTGTTGCAGGTATCGTTATGGATGTTTCATTTTTTGTTTGTTTTCCAATGATTTTAAGAACAAAATATATCCCCTTCTCGAAAATCTAATTCCTTTATCCGAATACATATTTGTGGTCTGAATGTATGAATATTTTCCATCGGAAAGGGTTGTCACATAATCATTCCAAAAGCACTTTTTTTTCGATGGCATCACACTACTTACATAACTTACATTCTAATACATTCCATTCCACTGCGACTTTATATCGACTGTGGATGTCGCGTGACTTGTTGATTTACATATTCAAAATTATTTTAATATAATATACTCAACCCTCTATATGGAATCACGTTGGTTGGCCTAGAGTAAATATAACATCTATTCAGAACTATACAAATAAACCTAAAGTTACACATACCAGGATAATTAACCAATAGTAAAGAATAGATGTAATCACAGCCATGGAAAAAAAAGTTCAATAAAGTATTCTAGAGATGCTTTATAAACCCTGACATTAGTTGTGATTAAGACAGTTGATTAAACGTAGCAGCTTTAGTTTAACCCGTTGACTAGCATTGGCTACTAAGAAAGTTAGTAGCCGGAAATTTTTATTCTTGTACGGTACTTTTATATATGTGTTAAAACTCAGTGGACAAGTGACAACAATAAAGCCCATATGTTAGCTGTGAGATAGACTAAACACATTTGTGTCAATAATACCAGGAAAGCTATGACATTCTCACAGTTGGGGTGCTAATGCATTGAAGTGCTTAAGTTTCAAATGCCAACATAAATATTGCCTATAATGAGAGGAATGTGGCCAGACTAATATTTTAAGTGCTATGAATTGACTTTCTTTGTAATTTATGGTGTCTGTATCGTTTGGTAATCTCTTCTAACAGGATGTATCAAGGATTAGGTGGTGTTATTGAAACCACCTGTACTGTAAGCTATTACAACTCGCTAGTAGTGGCAATTAGGTTTATCGGTATAGTGAAACAACATACAAGGACATGTGTTGAAATAAACTTGTATGAAAGTTCAAAGAAATGATATTCAAGTACCGAAAAGCTTTCTTGTTATCATATCGACAGTAATGTTCAAATGCGTCTGCGCTGGGCTGAACGAGAGTGACCCCCCAACAGAGGTGAGATAGTTACGGACAACGAACAAAGGTCACGCTGCTGACCCAACGGTTTATGCGGCACAATAAACAAAAAATACGGCTGCAATGAAACATAAAAATAAACTTGAAATAAAAATATACTTATGAAAGAAAATTAAAATGTTTTTATGTACATATATAAACATGAAATCTTAGTTAAAAACGAAAATACTCATTTATTGTTTAGGTTTATTTACAAATATTATTTTTGGGTCTTGTATATTATGGGCTTTATGTTTCTTAAACTACACACATTTATTCAAGTCATTACGAAGTTTTAAAACTTTTTAACCAGTAGTTTTACTGTTGGAATGAAAAATAGCAAGACTTAACGTTTTTATTTTTGCATCTAAATATGATTTGCATACAACTTCACGTGTACTTATCAGTGCAAATAACTTATAAATTAGGCATTGTTTATCCATACATTGATGCTCCTTTTGTATATATTGTTGCGTCATCGAGATCACGTGACAATTCTCACGCTCTCTTGTTTTTAGAACTATCCCCTAACTTGGCGAATGGTCTAGTAATTACTAGAAATAGGGTACGCTGGTATATAAAAGAGGGGAATGTAATGTGTGTGTA